GATTAAATTAGAATGATTGAAATCATAAAAGAAAATTATATCAGTCATCTTTGGATACGTGAATGTTAGTAAATGATTACCAATCTGATGAAAAATTTGACCAATTTTATTTTCTTAATTTTATAAAGAAGAATCCACTGCAAGATGATGGAACCTCAGTATGTTAATTTGAAATAATTTATTTTTAATATACTCGCCCTGTGATAGCTAATATGACAATAGAGGAATTTCTGTCGATCGAACAGCTCTAATAAAAGTCCTGGAGCGACGTTCTTGCAAGAACGACTAGATCAAGTCTAACGAAATCCAATTAGCGCATTTCGATTTCACGACTATTTGCCCAACAGTCCTCTCGAACAACGAATGTGATCAACGATCCGATAAGATCGGATACCCCTGACTTAAACATCGATAAAAGGCTTATGAAAGAGAGGTTTCAGAAATATGTACTCGGGGCTTCTGAATCGTCGATCAAAGCTCTCGATCGAAAACAAATTGCTCCTATATAAAATCGTTCTGAAACCGGTCCGGGACCCATGGAATGCAACTCTAGAGGATGTGCTAAGACCAACGGAAACCTAATATAAAGATCCTGATCGAGGATATCGCGTGTCATATTGCGCCAGTTGCACAATCCATATTTAATGTACTTTGCACAACTTTTCTACGTTTCATTAAATAATTGCATTGGTAAAGAGTCTCTTTAAAATTATATTTCTGCACTCTAAAAACCCATGTCAACGAAAAATAAAAAATCTGATATTTTCTCTATTCTATTTCGAATTGAAAAATGGCTTTGAACCCTGGAGAAATTCTTGATACGATTTTGACGGACCGATTCAAAGGGATCCGACGAAATTGCTTTCAGAGACAACTGTCGATCGATCGATAACAACGTGTAACGCACAGTTCGAAACATAAATTCCCGTCCGGACCATCAATTATCTCGGTGGAATTATTAATAATCGTCGGCGTTCAGGGCTCGATGGATCGCGCGGAGCCCTTCGATCGTAAGCTGCGCATCAGGGCGACTCATTCTCAAAGGCACGGCGGAGGGGAGAGGGCTTACGAATGACAAGTTCGCCCCGGAGATACGAAACGGAAATAAGAAAAAGGCGAAGGATACTTATTAAAGTGCAGTGCACCCTACAGGTGTTCGCGTGGAATGCTCCCGAGAGAACGAGATCGCGATGTGAAATGTTTCAAAAGAACTGTCCCCCACCCCCCTTCCCTTCCAGTTCTTCCTGCCCCATTATTGAAAAATCCTACATACTTCTGCAGCTTACAACCGTCTTCGTGCAAGATCAAATATTTATTCCGGGCTCTTCGAACCGATTCGAACTTATTTTTCCAACGTCATCTGGTTATTTTAATTACATAACGTTATCGAAGGTAATTGGAAATTCTCAAGTTGCAAATTATTTTTAGTTTTCGGAATTGATATTTATTGTTACGTTCGAGCAACTTTTTTAACAACGGGTTATTTTAATTGTATACGTTACTAAAGGTAATTGTAAAATCTTCTTTCTCAAGTTGCAAGTTATTTGAATTTTTCAGAATTGATATTTATTGTCGGTAGCAATTCTTTTTATGAGTTTCCTATACTATCATTGTGTAATAATGTTCTAATTGCAGGAGGACACTTTGTTGTAAAGATTCGAAATTTATTAACTAGTCCATTTTCCTACTCGTATTCGTACACTATAATGGTGATTCGCTATGAATGAAAACTTGTTTTTCTTTATGAATTCTCTTTAATTTCTTGTTTTCACCAAATGTTGTTTATTGCGTTGGTTACTTTTATTTATAAAGTAATTTTTTGTTGTCTTTTTATTTAATATTAACGTCCATTCGAAGCAGGTAAATGCAATTATAAATGATGTAATTAATTAAATCTTATAAAATCAATAATATATACGTGTTTTATTTCCTAGCGGTAACCCATCCCAGTAGTGTGACCGCGCTCAATGCAGCTGCACCTCAGTGACCAAACGAGAACCGACATATCCAGCGTGCCATCACCGTTTACAATTATTACTTTTAATTTATTCTTATTTAAACCCTCAAATATCTCCATATATAATTAATAAATTTATATTATAAAAAACAAATTTCCTTTTTTATTTTGTGAAGTGAATCACCCATGACAATGTACAAATACAAATACGTATAACTGTACATCCAAAAAAAAATTTTAATGAACTCTAAATGTTCTCTAATTTTCCAATTTGAAAAGACATTCTGTAATAATCTCTGGACAACGTTTTGCATCGAAGTGTAATGAAAGTGTAACGACAGTGTAACATAACGGCACGTTTCCCACAAAATCGATCGTAAGTAATCGGATACTTTGCAGTCAGACGTATCCAGATAAGATTGCCGCAATGCAACTGATCAAGGATTTCCCGTTCATGATGGATCAATCGCGATCGGCGACAACGGGAAGGGAGGCAACAAACTCGGATATCGAAGCACGCAGGATGAATGAAGCGCATCCAGGGACCGAATTAATCGATCGTAATCGATCGATTCCCGGCCGGCAGTCTACCACGTGTGGGATTTCAATTTGCCCGATCGGTAGGGGCTTTCTCGCACGATCCTGGACATTAATCTGATAATTATCAACTGTTCTCGATCTCTCGCGTCGATCGTACATCTCTGTCGTTATTGAGTTTAGAAAATCGACGAACTTCTTATCGATTTATTGTTTGTCATTTCCTTTTCTTTACGAATTATGAGCAATTGAATAATCACGTTTGATGTGAATGTTTTTGCAATTTTAAATAGTGAATGGAAACAATGTTTGTTGGTACAGTGAACTGATCAATTTTATTTATTATTCTAATGTTTGGGAATTGAGTTCTTTGCTTTCTAGTCTTTTATTTAAATTGCAGTAATTATATTTTGGTCTAATAATTCTGATTTCTATTTTGAATTTGTCCCAAGTTGCAAAAAAGAAAAATATGATTAATACCAAAACCAGAATTAAAATTCTGTGCCCCAAAGGATTGATATCTCTAGTAATTCTAATATTTCTAAATTTATGTGATTTTATATAGATACAAAATTTTGAGTACACTTTTAGTTCCTTCAATTGTATTGCAATGATTCTAATAATTAAAAAAAATGATTAATACTAAAACCAGAGTTAAAATTCTGCAACCCAAAGGGTTGATATCTCCAGTAATTTTAATATTTCTAAATTTGGTATACGTGCAAAATTTCGAGAAGGAAAAATTTGTGCCCTCACAATTCGAACCAAATAAGTTCAACAAGTATCGAAACAAATCAGTGACGCGATATATATTCGTTGAAATTGGCGTTTCTTTCTCAACGACCAATGATTTATTTCGATTCGACGTACAATGGCGGCCGCGCGTCGAACTTAACGAGACATTGTACGCGTTGAATTATGAGTAACGCGGTTCTTAATTCAAATTTTTGTATACAAATTCGACGAATTTAACGAGTCACGAATATTTATGGTTCGCCTTTTTATCGTCTGGCTCGTTGTACGCAACCGCCCACGCGATCTGAACGATATTAACGCGCGCAGGTCGTGAAAAGAGCCGTGTAAAACCGTGCACGGCTAGATAAAAATCGTTAACCGACGTATTGACCCTGCGCGACCGACGAGGCCATCGTTTGATCTCATCGATATCTAATTTAAAATCCTTGGAGCCCGATGACGAAACGTCATCGACAAACGAGACAAAATAAAGCGTCATCGATGGTCCAAAGATGTCTTCGCAAAGTTACTTAAGCATCTCTAATAGGACGTAATTTATGGCATTTTTAAGAATATCTCTTTGAGCATTTTTATTCAGAAAGTTAAGATTGGTTACTTGAAAAAAATTTGCTTCAAAAATTAAAACTTCTAATTCATAAATATTAATAATAAAGGGCTGATAATAATAGTAACAAATTGTGAACAAAGTAATTTAGGAATTATTTTGTTCTGATAACTGTATATGCATATATTTCTCTGATTCTAGTGAAACTTTTTCGAGACTATTAGATTGTTAAAAATGTTGAAATAGCAAACGTTGAAGGACTGAATATGTCTTGATCGATTCTACTCGAGTTGCTTAAATTCCCTATCAAGCACAAAACATCGTACGACGATCATTTGTTATTCCGCTGAAGTATTTTCGCGTGGGTACGCGATGCGATAAAATCTATCAGATACGTTCCTCGAGATACGCTTCTGGGCTCGCTCATGCGCGAAATCATCATCGGGGGGGTTTTTTTAGATCGAGCGAATCATTAATAACTATGCTCGATGAAGCTCCGTGAGGCGCTGGCCAGAGCATTGCTTTCGTTTCGAACGCGAGATTAGCTTAAACTAAACCATTTCGTTAAATTAATAATCCGTTGGGTCGATGCACTTGGTCGACCTGTTGGAGTGTATCAAAATAATTTGATGGTCAATTTTAAATTATAAATAACGGTAAAATAAACATTTTAGTAAAATAAAAATATTCACGTAAGGCTTAGTCGACCTGTTGGAATGAATCAAAATAATTTGATGGTCAATTTTAAATTATAAATAATGGTAAAAAAAAGCATTTTAATAAAACAAAAAAATTCACCTAAGTTTTAGTCGACCTGTTGGAGTGTATCAAAATAATTTGATGGTCAATTTTAAATTACAAATAATGGTAAAAAATATTTTACTGCAATAAGAAAAATATACGTAAATCTTAGTTGTCCTGGTAGAAAGAATTAAAATGATTTGACGACTAATTTTATATTCCAAAAAAAAAAACAGTAAAAAATATTTTACTACAAAAAATAAATACACATAAGTCTCAATCGACCCGTTGGAGTAAATAAAAATAATTCGACGATTAATTTAAAATAGTAAAATATATTTTACTACAAAAAATGAATACCTGTTGGAGCGAATAAAAATACCTTGCCCCTCGATAAGCTAATTTTGAAAATCAAATGCAATTCAATGGATTGAAAGAAAAATATAAAATGAATTCGACACTCACCCTGCTCGCACTCGTCGATGTCCTCTGAGCAGTCCACCCCCTTGTAACCCGTCGCGCAGGAGCATGTGAATGATCCGTTGATGGGGCTGGTGTCGCAGATCGCACCCTCGTGACAGGGGTTCGAGGTGCAGGCGTCGTCCAAATGGCACAGGAGCCCTGCGAAACGAACAGACCCAACGATTTATCGTACGATTGTGTTATTTACGGTCGAACGAAAAATCCACGCGCAAAATCGAACCGCGTCGCCGCCATTTTGAAGGGGCCTCTCTGTTCATGCCGCGGGTTGCGTGCGTTTCTAGGACAAAAGTGTCGATCGCCGAGCGCCAAACACGGCGGCGACCGCCAAAGATGGACATCATTAAGGCTTGTATCCCGCTCGGTTCGCGTAACCTGACCAGAAAAGTTACGCTCGAGGATCGCAGAGGAGCCGGGAGACACGCGGTGGAGAACGGTGACAAATCCCCGGAGCGTCTAACGTTCGTCGATCCGCGGTTCGCGTTCGGTAAATTACTGGAAACGCTCGCGTACGTGTACGATAAGTCGATCTAATTGCTCCCTGCAGCGAACCACGCGATGGAAATTCAAGGAATTCCGATTGGAACTGCTTGGAACGACGATGATGCGCGTTCGAGCTTATCTCTTCGCTGCCGTGAGTTTCGTTTCATCGGGGGATTGGCAAAGATCGGTGCTATTTCGTTCGAAATTGTACTCTTTCTTCAAAAATTCGCGATATCTTTATGGGGAGGAAGATTTGTTAAATTTTTTAAAACTAGTCTTGCAGTGAGGATATTTTAGGGCTCTAATAAGCTTTGTTGATCGCTGACGCTGCTAGTCTCATATACGGATCTCGATAACGGGACACGTACGTCTAGGATGTTCATATATAAACCAGAGTAAACTGCAACGCAGATGCAACGATTATACCCGCGACTAACTGTAAGTGCGTCCGTACGCGCAAGAAATAGAGCCTCCGGGCTTTAACACTACTCCCGGATGCCATCGTTTATGCGTACGTCCATACGTATTGTAAATCCGTTAACCTCTACGCGTCAGAGATCGACACACACTGTCTACTCCTTAAATTCAGTAAGAAATGAACAGATTTCTACAAAAGTTATCACCAGACTGCGGATCTTTATGCGAATTCATATTTAGCTCGACGAAATCCGGACCCAAACGTGGTAAACAAACCAGACTGATGCTACACTGCTTTGTAACAGAGGTTATAAGAATCGTGACCGACTCTTGTGGCGTACTGATAGGAACTAAAACTCAATCACGATCGTGATTTGCTGTCCTCGAGCCTGGCTCGTGATATTTACGTTTGGGCCAAAATCTTTGTCACGAGTCAGATTCAAAATACGGAACGGAGTTAATAAAATTAATGAAATATCAAGTACATTTGTGCTTTTTTGAGAATCAAAAATACATAAACATCTAGTCATCGCCTAGAAAGGAATATAGTGTCAAAATCAATATGAAAAATACAAACTGTTTCCAAACATTTATCTGGACAATCATATTTGCAGTCTTCTAAATGTTAATTTGATCAAATTTAAGATTGGAATTTCCGATAACATTTATTTATCACTTATAAAGAAATATAATACCAAAACCAATATGAAAAATACATTTCCAAACATTTATCTACACAATGGTATTTGCAATCTCCCAAATATTAATTTTATCAAACTTAAGGGGCCATTCTACCTTGTATTGTGATTTTTTTTGCGGGCTATTAAAGAGCGATTAATTTCGTGTTTTGTAGATACATTTATTATATATTTAGCTATATTTACGAATTTTTGCAACGCATAATATCTATTGATTACGCTGTTTTTGTTGATCAACAAACAACAGTTTTCAGGAACGGCGCCCGACTTCGTATGTGATATTTTGCGAACAAGTTATCCGAAATCCAAAAACCAACGATATTCTTAATATAGATGAGTGTGGTTATAGCATGAACTAGGATCTTTTCAAAAGAACAGAAAATGGCAAAATGGCAGCTATTTTACGAAAAAATACTGAATATTTTCATATATTCGGCTGCCTTTTTGTTAATGAAAGAAAAAGTATTGCAGATATCGCAATTATCCTAGTACATGCTATAGGGGGACTAGTTCTAAAGATACTGTATAAATTTCCTGTTGATATCTTCAATAGCTTTTCTGTTATCACATACGCAGTGCCGAAAAGTGTAGTTTCGAGAAAAACCTACGCGCGGTACATTTCAGCAGGCTATAACTTCGTTAGTTTTCCGAATTTCAATTTAATATTTCGTAGATATATTTTCGAGACTACATACTAAACGACAATGCAAAAAAAAATTCAATTTTTTAAATCCCACAAGGTAGAAAGGCAACTTAAGGTCGAAATTTCCGCAAAAAATGGGCATTTGGAGGCCCCGGTGAGTCGGTGGGCCATGGGTCCCCGATTGGGAACCGCTGATTCGACGTTTCCCGGAGATCTTTAGCCGCCGCGGAAAAAGTAGTTCGGGGCTATCCGCTGGAATCGCAATAATGCCGGGGTAGAGAAGAAGGATGCCTGTATTTGGCGATCGTTGTCGGAACGATCGATCTGAAAACCGTCTTCCTCGGCCTCGGGTAGGAAAGTAAGGACAGAAACTCGTTTTCAGTCCTCAAGGTCGTCGCTCGGTATGGCTAGGCAGCCAGGGGCCTCCGGAATCCCGGTATTCCGAGGGGCCCTTTCTGCGTCCGCGTCATATTGTTGCACGTGCAGATGCCCCGGCTGCCGATGCACTCGCGATGCATAATGCCGACACGATTTCCAACCCCGCGGCCTTGTTATCGACCGTGGTCGGCTCTCCGCTAATCGCCGCGATTCGCAGAAAACGCGTTCGCCTCGTCATCCGGGGCTTAGCTCGGATTCTCGTTTCGCCGCGCAAAAGGAAGCACGGTCGACGAGGACGAAAAAAAAAATACCGCGGTATTATCGTCCGCAATGTTAGGCAAAATGTAATCCGACCACGCGATAGCTTCTGCTAAGTGATTGCATTCTAATTGCACGGCAATTATGAGGCTTAATGATTTACGATTACGATTACAAGGTAATCGCACGGCAATTATTCTGTAATTGCAATGTATTCACTGGCTGCAATTTGCTAAGTATTTTTTCTACTCTGGTCTTATTTATTGCAGCGATGAATTTTTCTCAGCAAAAACAAAAATTTTGGTGAGCCAATATAATTTATTATAGAAAGCAATGTACTCTTCTTTCTATTTTTGTTTTTTTTTTTTTAATTTATATATGAATTTTGCACATGCAACAAATCTGCAGAATATATTTCTGTCTATTTGAATTGTAAACTTGTGTGTGTTGATTTGTTGCAGTATATTTTAATAATTTTCCGAGTGTTTATTGGGGGGGCCTGTTTCATTTCGTACACGTGCAACAAATCTGCAGAATATTTACAATGTAAACTTGTGTGTGTTGATTTGCAATATTCACAAAAATTAATGAGCTACTGACAATTATGGTGTATTTATTTGTGCCAAAGAAATTAAATTTTGATAGATACTCGAAGAAATAAATGTTTATTCAGTCTCGCATAGTAAACCACGGTTTTGCAAAAATCCAGTCGAATAAATATTTTACAATTTTTATTACAAATGGGTCATTTTCGACAGTTGTATCAAATAATAATTACCAATTGTCACTAATTTTTGTAGAACATATTAAAACAAGTGAAATTATAATTTCTAATTTTTGTGGAACATATTTAGAGCATTCTAAACAAGTGAAATTATAATTTCACAAACCAACGACACACAAGAGACGCTGAGGCTCGGATAAGAAAATTAGATCGTCATATATGTGATTAGATTCTATAATTTTGAGACTCTTACCTGTTTTCCCGTAAGTGCACTGACAGTAGAAGCTGCCAACACGGTCAATGCAGGTAGCGCCGTTGAAACAAGCTGCACCTGCGCAATCGTCGATGTTGACGCTGCAGTCGGGCCCGGTCCAGCCATTCACGCAAATGCACGAGTAGCTGCCCGGAGAATTCGTGCACGTGGCACCGTTGTGACACAACGAAGGACGCACGGAACACTCGTCCACATCCAGCTCGCATTGCGTACCGGTGTACGACGGTGGACAGAGGCAAGAGTACTCGTTCACCCTGTCCATGCAGGTCGCGCCATTTTGGCAGAGATTCCCCGGACAGTCGTCGATGTTTTCCTCGCACTGTTCACCTCGAAATCCTGAAACATTCAAAATGCACATTGTCAATGGAATTTTATACCACAAATAAAAATAAAACCATTTGTAAATTTTTTTTTCAAATTGGATGAGTTCAATCTCGAAATTGTCAATTAATTACTTGCTCCCTTAGAATATAGACCAGCACTCAGAGGCGAAATACTCGACTCGAAAATGCAATAATTACAAATAAATATTGCATCGATACTAGACGTGGTATTAATAATATATTTCGTTTCTCAACTTCAGAAGGAAACATAAAAGCAAGCAAATGGAGTGCAATAATTTTTTTTTTAATAGAATAAATAAAATTGAAGAGTTATAAATTGAGATACGTTTATTCCATTTTTGCACTTACTTCTCACAGTGATAATTTGACATGCATATAATTTTAAATAAAAATAGTTCGCGAAATAGCAAGTTGCATTTAATTTTATGTTTTCCCCCGGAAATACATTCGACTCATTTTTACGTGGACACATTTATTAAATCTTTTAGCATTTTAAAATCGTCGTGGATCATTCTGTAGCGAAATTTAACGTTCGCAGCTCGTCGAAACCAGTTTATGGTCCAGCACGTATCGTTTTACGACCCCGATCGTACAACATTGTTTAGACACAGCCTTTTACCAAGGTGGAAAGATTGAAAGACAAACAGAGAATCATGGAGGTAGAAACACGTATGTACGAGAACTGTACAATATCTCTTACCAACCCTGATTATATCGGTGATCGTTGCGGTCATAAAGAGAAGTCATTACTCTGCTATGTTGCCGTGTAGGTCTTGTATACTCTTCGACGGAAAAAAAAAAGGAATTGTTATATTAAAGCGAATCTACAGATACACGAGGTTTTATTGTTCCACGAGTTTATGGCTGGATCGAATGAGGGAGAGGCAAAAGGATACTCGAATGAAACGCCAGAGATAAAGAGATAGACCTTGATAACCGTGAAAACGATAGCTCAATGTACCGAATGACCCCTGAGGAGTAAAAGCCGATTCCCATCATTGATATTCTTCCCTGAAATCTTTCCAAGTTGCCTCGCGGAGTCGTTGCAATTTTACTGGGGAAATTCGAAACGAATTTTGGTAGAAGAAAAAATAATATTATACGATTATTTAGAACAAAACATAAGGAAATGAATTACAATTTCTATGCAGGGTCACTAAAGATCATCTTGTACAGCCGCGATCATAAAAGTTGCAAGGTTTTGGTTAACATAAAAAAAGTCTTTGTAATCATTCATAGAAAATGATAACACTTATAAGAAAATTTCAGTAATAGTTTATATTGTATTTTAAAATTTTTTAAGATACAAGAGCCAAAAAGGAAATGAATCTTTCCCTGGAGAATCGAGTGTGGTAATCGAACCTAAACTGGTAAGCAAATGGATCGATAAAACATAGATGATCGAGCACCGTGCACGGGCGTAACAAAATCCTAACCATTAAACCGAAGAAGTTTGCACTCGAGAGAAGTTTCTCGATGCAAGAACGCGATACCCTTTAATTAAAACGAAAACTATCGTGACACCTCGAGACCTCGAGGAAAAACGTCTGCATAGGAAAGAACCCGAGCTAGGAGATCGACAATGGTCGATGCACCGTGACGATGAATTATTAGCAGCCTGAAAACTCTTCTTGCCTCGCGGGGCGTTCTTTTTGCTGGCCAATGGCGGCGGGAGCAAAGTAAACACTTAAAATCCACGGCTGGCACGTCGATTTTACTCGTCGTTCGATAGAGGGAAATTTTATTAAATTAAATTAAAACAGTCGAGTAATTTCCTATTATTTAGCAAAGTAAACACTTAAAATCCACGACTGTACATTTTACTCGTTGTTCGACGAAATTAAATTAAAATAGCGAAGTGATTTCCTGTTATGTGGACTCGAAATGATTTCTCTCGGGTCTCTCCGGCTTTGCATCCGTAATTTACATTCGAGATTGCTCTTGGAACAAAAGCGAACAAGGAAATCCGGGTGATATTTCGCAGTCGATGGAAGAAGACGTCTTTCTCTGTTGTGTGGATAGCAAAACACACACACACGCGCGACCACTTTCCTTCCGCTCTTATCTATCGGTATCAGTTGCTCGACCAGCGATGCATACCTGGTCCGTGAACCATAGTTACCAACTCTAATGGCGCGCATAATTTATGCTCGATAGAGCGGTTAACTAAACTTCCTATGCATCTGCACTGGTTCGCGAGGCGTACACACACGTCGCTGACGTGAGCTAGAGTTTCGTTCCGGGATGAAAAAAAAGTTCCCGAAGCCCTGTAACGTATGTATAAACCACGGCCACGACGTTATTATACCGGGGCCCCAACAAAGAGGGGCGGTCAACATTAATATTAAAGCGATGCAAAAGTAAATCGGCCGTTTCGCGTGCGCCATTATCCGACCGGGGAACATAACGCCGGTTATTCCGCGCCCGGTTCTCAGAAATAATTTTACAGTCGAATCTTAACTAGCGTGTTCGGCGTTTTAATATAAATGTACGACAAAAGGGATCACGATCCTCGGATTCACCATAGGCGAATCGTAAATTCCACGCGAACATGTTTCCAACGGGGCCTTCAATGGGGGATACGCTGCGTTTCTTATTCATTTTTACAGCAAACGAAATTTAAACACTTTGGGTAGATACAACTCCCATTTTAAAATTAAATAGTGAAAATTTTGAAGCACAAATATTGCATTGTTTTTTTAATATTTATGTTTTCTTGAATTTTAAATTCTATTGAAGTGAATTTTAAAAATCGTATTAATTTTTAAATTTTTATATTTTTTTTTATTAAAATCGATTCTCATGAATTTTTACCTCATAACAAAATTTAAACACTTTCATAAATACAATTCTTATTTCAAAATTAAACAGAGAAAATTCTAAAACATTAATATGGAATTGTTTTTTGAATATTTATATTTTCTCGTGGATTGGGTTATATAAGATTCTTTGAATCAAACTTTGTAAATTGTATGAATTTTTTAATTTTTATATTTTATGTGCATTTGTTACGGGGTTTATGGACCGTGTAAAATGCCAATCTTTTTTTTTTCTAAAGAATAAGATTACAGTACTTTAAAAATTGTACAAATTTCTAGATTGTTACATTTTATTTTGTGCATCTGTTAGGGGACTTATGGCCCATGTAAAATGTCAATTTTTTTTTATTGAAATCGATTTCACGCGCAACAGAGGGCCCATCGGGGCTTCGCGTCCGAATTTCAGCAGAGATTCGAAACTGGAATCTTTCAAGGGGGTTTCCCTTCTTGAGTTACCGGATTACTGGGACCCTACACGCTACCGTGAGATTTTTACATCGTAAAATCGAGATTATGATACTTCCCCGTCCACAAATTTACACGGCCACTGTTTTATTATTATTAAACGTCTTTATTAAGCACACGTGGTGCCATATACGTTAATATATGTAACGATAAAGTATAAATAGACTACGTAAAAATGTATAACGTAAAGAATGTTCTACGAAAGATTTTCCCATGTATTTTATTCATAAGTTTCAACCATTACGTTTTATAGTCCCCTATGGCTAAAAAAGAAAAAACTATAAAGTACGTATTTTAAGAAATATAAATTTCTTTTTCTTCAAACTCAATGCTTATTTAATATTAATATTATTTAAGTTCATTGTTTCGTAGAATTAAATCAACATTTATATACATGATCACTCATATATAACTTATATATAAATTACACTAAAAACAACAATAATATCTAACGATCCCAATATACGAGTAAAATGCTTAAAAAAAAATATTATTTTTCACCAAACTGTCATCAGAATTAATATTTTACAAATTTTGGAAAAATTAGTGTAATAATTTTCTACATACGATTGAGAAAATTCCAGTTCGACATGTGTTCCCTATATTCGTGAGACTCGAAATGCAAAATGGCGCCCGTAAAATCGAACCTAACCTGAGTCCTTTGCAAGGATGCTGAGACAAAATGGAAACGACGGAATATTGACCGGCGCTTAATTTTCGTTCCACGTATTCCGCAAGAAAGAAAATACCAGGAGATGGGCGAAAAACTCAGGCTATTCGTGTTCAACGGTAGGAACGGGGAACAAGAAACGCGGAGGCGAGGAACCTACGAACACCGCGCCACGGTTCCGTGCCGAATCGATTGTCGTTAATATCGATACCAGCCAGGACAAAAGGAACCCTTCGAGTTACCCTGAAAAATCCACGTATTTGCACGATGGATCCGTTCGACGTTCGTACTCGCGTCCATTCATCGTTCCTCCCTTTTTCTATCGTGCTTCGAACAAAGAGCGTCCAAAAAAAACTGTCAACCCTCTGTCGATGAAATATGACCATCGTGTAACTAATAAAGTGACCACGCGAAGTGTCGATCGAAAAAAATAGAACCAGAAGGGCAATGATCCACTCAATGTACGCAATTGTACTTTATTTTTTCAGTTCTTCATGAAGGGTGTTTATCCCTCAAATAAATAAATAAATAAATTCTAGAGTCTTTCTAATTTATAATAGAAAATTTATTCGAAACTAGATATTTCCAACCACAATATTTAATTAAAAATAAATGTTTTCTATTATGTGGTAATTTAAAAAATTTTAATTCTTGAATTGCATCTATCTGTACTATAAACAGAAATGAAATAATTGCGAAAGACCCAAAAATATAGATATCGTGACTAATAATAAATCGAGTCCTCAGCTTCTATGATCGACGACCCACTCATCGATAACAACCCTAACATGCATTAATGCATAGTCAAAACACTACCTGCACCGAACCAGACTATGAATAAAAATAACGTACGGCCATTCTGATCGAGAAAATCCGTGCAAAGACAAATATACAAATTTCCATATTCATCACAGTATTGCCTCTCCCACCATCGAGGCCTGCAAAAGCCACGAACGGACCCTCTGTGTAACGAAAGAAAAATCCCCGAGCACAAGTATGCATATAAATACGGATCGCACCCTTCGTGAGGCTGCAAGT